TAATTGTCTTTCAGAATTGAGGCCGGGGAACAATCATATAAGCTGTCTGGATTGTTTTAGGCGTCTAATTTTAAGTAAGCAAAAAGTTTTATGGTTTGCCGCTCAGTCTAGGACATTGTTGGTTTGTGAGAGTGGCGATTGTGGGAATAATCATGGTGGTTTGCTTTCACTGTAGACAAGGAAGAAGAGAGGAGAACGAGAGAAAGGCGAGCATTGGTAGGGCAGGGCTGGTCATAACAGACATAGATGGAAGAAGGAATAGTTATTTGGTAAAACTACATTTTAAGAGTAGGTTATTTGGAAGAAGGAATAGTTCTGGATAGTGCTATGCTACAGAATGACTTGAAAAACAAAAAGCCAAGCAAAATGATGAAGATTTCTGATCTGAATTCCAATGTGGAATCGTAGCATTAATGGTCTTCAAAGTTCTCTGATTGCTTTGCTACATGTTTCAATTATGTTAGTGAATAAATAAGTGCATTTGTTGGTTATTATCTATCCTGAATCTTCTTGTAGATCCTGATACCACAACCCTCTCATTGGCGCATGAGGGTATAGATGAAATATTTGCTCACAACATTATAGGTTGTGTCTTGAATCATAGTCAGTACTAAAAGGATGTGGCATCGTAGCATACATGTTACAATGTATAGGATGTGATATGGTAATTTATATGCAAGGAATGATTTGCACATGGTTATTTTGTTAAGAGTTTTTAATGTTTTTGTTGGTTTCTAAATATGTTTTTTGAGGTAGATAATATACTCCTTTTTTTCTTTTCTTTTTTTCTGGGAGTTCTTTACTCCTGCATGATTAGCCTACTAGGTTGGGATATTATTCCAATCTTCATTTACTAAGTAAATAGATTAAGAATTTTGTGCACCAAAATACATAGCCTGTTGTTTCACTTATATTTCAGGCTTTACGAGCATGGTGCAACATTAATAATTTTTCTTCACTTATTGTTCCTTGGCTCATCCATGTCAAATGGCAAGTTCTATGAGAATTGACAAAAGAACATGTTGCTTAATTGTCATGTTAATTTGCTTGTTAGATTATTGAACTGCATTCAAGTCACATATAGAAGTAGCTTGTTTCTGAATCCTGTTAGACTTGTTCTCAAATTATTGTAAATGCTTAGCAAGTCTGTTGTGGTGATTGTACCTACTGGCATATATAGAATTTTCTGTAAATGGTTGGCCCAATAAAGATATGGCATGTGCAGTTATCAGTGATCCAAGAACAATGTAATTTATGTTAATACCCGCTTTGTTGCTGCTACAAAATGATTTACTAATTCAATTTTTAAGAGGCAAGTGGACTGTTGCAATTGCTGATTTTTCAATGCTATATGGTTATGGTTAACTGTTTTATAAAAGATTAGTTTATCAGTATTAGCTAGCTGGTGGAGTCATTTGCATTGGAGTTGGAGACTTGAATACTTAAGTTATTTTTTTGGGTAGTTTTTAATTCTGTAATATTTTAATTTATTTATTTTTATGTATGTGCAGAGGGAATAAAGGTTGCGACTCAAGAGTGATGGCAAATACTAACGGCTCCATATGCTCCCCGCTACCGCTCTTAGACTCTAATGACATTGTTATGAAATAGTGAATTGAATTTTGAAGAGTGAGATTCACTTTTGTAAATATAATATATAATTTTTTATATGAGTATTAATATATCTATAACATATATAAAAAGAAGGTAAGAGCGGTATAACGCTGGTATAACGCTACTGTTTGTTTGGTTTGTAATAACTCTTTCCTTGCCTTGCAAATGTGGGCTGGACTCGTGGGCTGCAAATTACCTACCATTTATCTATCCCTCAATTGCTTTTCCAAGAATTCTCCATATGCTATAAACGGAAGCGGTGGTTCGGCCCAAAGAATTCACTTACATGTCATTTTTCAACTCTTCCTGTAAGAATTTTTGTATTATTGATTGATGTCTGATTGATTACAAGATTGTTGTGTTTATTCTGTTTACAATGATACATATATAGGAGAGAAGAAGGTAGTAGGTGAAGGGGTAGTGGAGGTGGTAGGTGGAGTGAGTGTGTAGTGGAGTAGTGGGTTAGGTAAGGGGAGTAGGTGAGGTGGTAAATTCTAACAGCCCCCCGCAAACTCAAGGAGGATAGAAACTAACCAACTTGAGTTTGGAGAGAGGAACAAAACAAGAAAAGACATAAAAATAAAAATAAAAAATAAAAAAAAGATAGGAGACACTGTATGGTCGTGTCAGACCGTTGGTGAAGACACTGAAAGGTGGTGCCATAACGTGGTAGAGGACACTGGATGGGTGTGCCATAACGGTGTAGAGGACACTGGATGGTGGTGTCATAACGGAGTAGAGGACACTGTATGGTGGTGTCATAACGGAGTAGAGGACACTGTATGGTGGTGTCATAACATGTAGAGGACACTGTATGCTAACCGGAATCAATGTCGGGACAGTTTATGGGGTCATGTCGGACCGATGTAGAAGGCTAACCGGAATCAAATGTCGGGACAGTTTATAGGGTCATGTCGGACCGTTGGTGAAAGTTGCACCCTCAAAAGGTGTGCCCAATTTTATCAAAAGGCGTGCCATCAAAAGGCGTGCCCACTTTATCAAAAGATGTGCCATGAAAAGGCGTGCCAGTTTGTCGGGCGTCAAGAGGCGCGCGATGCGCGTGGCTGCCTCGGCTATAAGACGGAGGCTGAGGCTGAGGCAGAGAAAAGCTGCGAAAAACCTCTGAAAAAAAAAACTTCGTTGTGCTGAGAGAGAGAGTCTGAAAAACTCTTCGTTGTGCGGAGAGAGAGAGTCTGTAACACTCAGTTGCCCAGAAAATGGCCTCGTCCTCGTCTTCCCGTGGACTGCTCACCCTCTTTCCCGACCTCAACGAGTCAACAAAAGAGAGAAATGGTGCGCTGCAAACTGGAAACTCAAACCAGCGCCCCGGAGTATACTCCGTTGAACTTTCCGACGCGGTCTGTGGAGCAAAGAATGGCAGTGCTGTCGGATGGGAGGCCAATCAGTATACTCTGAAGGCATGTGTGGAAGCATGACGGCGTCACAAACTTGACGAACCGGCTGCAGATGTAGGACAAATGAGGTGCAGCATGTAAACTCCCAGCTGCTCTGCTCCAACGCAATGTATAAGGATGCGCGAGCAGAGATAAGTGTGCTGAAGGCGGAAAATAGAGAACTGAAGCGGAAGGCCAAGCGTGATGTTCCGATTTGGAGGTCCGCCGTAATGCTGCATGTGGAGGACAGGGAGAGTAATCGTGCCCAGTGGAGTGGGAACACGGAGGCACACCGGCAAGGCTGCCCAGGACGGAGGCAAGAGAAAAGACCGGCGGAATAGGCGAAGAAGTGAGGTCGGTTGGTGGCCGGCTGCGAGAAAAAGAACAAAATGTTTGTTTGTGTGGTTTTTTTTTTTTTTTTTTTTTTTGTGATGTAAATGGTGATCGGGGTGAGCCCTGATATGAAATAAAATGAAGTGTTGGGCAAAATTAAGGAAATTGTTTTTTTTTTTTTTTTTTTTTTTTTTTTTTTTTTTTTGTGTATTGGACGTGTGCCCCTCTTTACAAAACAAAAACAATAAAATAAAAGACAATAATAAAAAAAGAGATATATATATATATATATATATATGGGGAAGAATATAATGATGGGATTAAAAGGATGATGATAAAATATGATGAAGGGGTGAAAATAAAATAAAATAAGAAAAAATATGTCGGTGATGGGCGGTGGGATCAGACAGCGGCTTTATGGGAATGATAAAATAGGGATGGCAATATTAAAAAAAAGAAAAGAAAGAGAGTGTGAAAAGTGAGAGAGAGAAAGTTGGTGGGTGTGTGAACTGGGAGATGTTTAGGGCGGTGGAGGAGGAGTCAGAGAAGGAGGGATCGACTGCCATGGCCATGGATCGCTGGAGTCAGCGGCAAAGGGGACGTCAGCGAGGTTGTGAAACAGATCGAAGGGGCCACGATGCCAAAGACGATCAGAGGCCTCAGTACTTCCCATGACGCCGCCGAACACGACGAAGAGGCCGAGAACTTCATTTGGTCGAGGGCTTTGTGGTGAGCCCACGACTCGATGGTGAGATCGGTCTTGGAGTTGAAGCCGAATCCGCAGATGACGATAGAAAGCTGGTAATGTAGCAAGGAAGCTCCTAGTCCTCCCACTTCCTTCACTTCCCGGCGGCGGAGGAGTCCGGTTGAAGAGAAAGCCGTTGCGGGAGCCGCCGGAGTTTTGGTCGGAGAAGAAGCCGGAGACTGAGCCAGCATCTTGTAGAGAGAGAAAGGCCGTGGAGAGGAGAGAGACTGAGCCAGCATCTGAAGATCTCTATTGTACTCAATTACTGAGACCTCTCTTGTGATGGCTGAAACTCTGATCACACCCAATTCACACCCAGATGGGTCATCGGATTCTCCGGCTCCGCCGTCAATCGAATCTCTGTTCAGCAGAAATGTCGATTTCCACCCAGCGAAGAAGCCATTCTCTAGGTTCAGCAATGGCGGCGGAGGGTTTAGGTTGGAGACTCTGAACCCAACTACTATCGCGGATCCACGGAGGCTTGGTGCGTCGGGCCAGGGCAGTGGTCAAACGGGTCTGGTTGGGAAGAAACCAGATGGGTCGGAGTTTTTGGATGTTGGGTTGGATCCTGAGCTCACTTTTGGGATTACTTTTCGGAGACTTGGTTCTGGACTGGAAAATCTTGGTTCTGGGTTTGTCCGGCGGACGGCCAAGGCGAGACTGCCGCCCGCCGGTGAAGCGGAATCACTAAGTTCTTAAACTCGCTCTGATACCATGTAAGAATTTTTGTATTATTGATTGATGTCTGATTGATTACAAGATTGTTGTGTTTATTCTGTTTACAATGATACATATATAGGAGAGAAGAAGGTAGTAGGTGAAGGGGTAGTGGAGGTGGTAGGTGGAGTGAGTGTGTAGTGGAGTAGTGGGTTAGGTAAGGGGAGTAGGTGAGGTGGTAAATTCTAACACTTCCTCCCAATTTGCTGGTTTACGTGTCTTCTTGGCCGTGCGTCGTTTGAGTGAGGTAGGTGTACATGTCTTCCGTTAAGTACTGCAACAGAGCCAGGTCAAGCCCACCATCTCTCCCCTCCAAGAATTTTCTTCTGTTCGGTGGGTCAAATTTGCAATCAAACGATTCTTTCTCAGCTGAAGACAAACACATATATGTATATACTCTTTATTCTGGTTCACTTCCTATCTTGGTTCAGCTTCGTTGTTTCTGGGTTCACAGACTACAAACCAAACTCCACCATCTGGTATGTAATTTAGTGGTTTTCTACTCCTTTTTCGACTATCTATGAATGCATTAAGATCTGATTTGCATGCCTCTGTTCTCAAGGGTGTCTGTTAGTGCATACACAAATTAGGCACACCACCTGTTTGACAATATGCCTGAATATGTAGACCAAAAAATTAGAGGGCTTCTCTAATGGTGTGCAATTCTAGTCTCTTTCTGGTTGTTCACTATTTAGCAAAACATTACAGTGGAATGGAACTTCAATTCTACTACCAAAATCTAATTACTCACCAGTATCACTATAAAAGTACTATCATGCACCATTACAATATGCACTGTCACTTCATTCAAACAAAATCTTTCAACCTATATTCATTACAATACATAGTGCCCCTCACCAAATCCCAATTCCCCTCATCTTGAACACTGTTAAATAACTATAAAAGTGAACCTATAAGTCACCATGTTTAATGAAAACAACATGGGAATTTTAAATTGTTCCTCAATTTCAAAGTCAATTAACTGAAAAAATTCAAATCCTAACCATTAACATAAAGAAACCATTAATTTGAAGACATCTTTTAAATAAAAAACCCAATTAACTGATGAATTTACCTTTTATAGTTATGAATTTTATGGAGTAACAATAAAACAAAGTAAGTTTCTATCTCTCTCTCTATAACCATAATTTTTCCAGTTAAAACAAACAAAAAGACAATTTTATAAAAAGAAAACAAAGTAGCAATCTTTTAGCAAATTAACAATAGCTAAAGATACAATATTAAATAATAAATAACCTATCTTCATAATTGTGCCTAATTGGTGATCATACGAGATTGTGTTTCTCGTGACACATACAATTTCAAGGAGAAGGTTATCTTAAAAATAAAATAAAAAAATATTCAACCCTCCATTAAGATAACCCAAAGCATCGTCAACTTTCAAAAAGAACAATTATCTGGGCGTTCAAATGTGACTTTAATCGGTAGTAATAGTTTAATTAAATCAAAGATCACAATCCAATTAAGCATAGCTCAGGAACCGCCAGGAACATAAATGGCTGAAATACCAATGTCCCATATTTGAACAAAACAAAAAGACCAAACTAAATTCACAACTCAAAAGGCTTTTCTTTTTTTGTTGTTCCATCCCTCATGAAAAAATTCTAAATAATCTTACCAATGGGGTTAGAGAATACTTCCGCCTCAACTTGAAAAGCACGTGCAGAAGCCTTTAGATCCCTTTCACTCTTGTAAACACCATTAAATAAACACAAAATTCTATGGATTCAAAACCAAAGGTATCAGTAACAAAATTTTCTACTTGAATTTTCCAAGTGATGGCAATGGGCTGCCAGCTGCGAACATCTCAAATAAATTAATTAATAAGTACAATGGCTTCAACTAGAAAAATATCCCAAATACTTGACAAAAGTTCATTGATGAGATTCATATACATTTCAAATATTTAGATTTAAGATTTCAAACAATAAGGCCCTAATTTCAATATTCATCAATAGATCAATTGCATTCTCAATAATACAGAAGGGACAATATCCAAACTATACATTTCAATAGATCAATGTCCACAAAATTCAATATTTTTGTTAACAATCAATTTGAATGATTCTTCAAACATAATATTTTTCTAGCAAACATAATTAATGACCAAGGAACTTGAACATAATAATGAACACCTATTACATCCATAAATTATTTTCAAATAATATAGTCGTTTTAATATTGACTAATTGTTCAAATAGTCCTTCATTCAATCAGTTGAGCTAAATTTGAACTCTTCCATAGTTATCCACACAAATATTCACAAAAGGCAATGAAGTTGCCACAGCACATAAACAATGAAAATTTTCCTTTGTAGAACCATAACGATAATGATAACAATAACAAAACTTCAATAGCAGTTATAGCACATCATCTAAACATCCAAGTAGTGGACCCACCAAGTCTAGAACAACTGGAGCAACATAGATTCAACCACAAAACATTAAATAACACAAACAGTCAAAGCTCAAATGGTCTTCACAATCACATAATCTCATAAATTACACCTGAACAAAAAATCAAGTCTTTCTTCAAAGGAAATGAGACTACATGAAGATGGGTTTTCGAAAGACATTAAATTAAAATTCAAAAACATTAAGTTACATTAAAGACATTACATTAAAATTCAAAAACATTGAAAACTTAGTATTTTTAGATGCAAAAGTATTTTGTTGTGATTCTTTATTTTCATTGAGTTACTTTTAGGTTTCCTTCAACATGATTGGTTTGTTGATGGGTTGGTTAGGTCAACTAGTTACTGGATTGGACCATGTAATCATCACCATGAAGAAGGGGGATATGGCAATGTTCATTTTGGCTCCTCGTTTGGGTTATGGATCCACAGGAAAAAATGGTGTCCCTCCCAATTGTGTTATTTAGTTTGAAGTGGATCTCATCTCATGGATCACAGTAGTAAATGTTTGCAACGATGGTGGAATTATCAAGAAAGTGATAGAGAAGGGAGAACAAATTGGCCCACTCCCATCCCAGTTCCTACCCAAGGTTTGTTTTCTCATTTCAACATTTTTCCTTAAAATTCTTTTTATGCTAATGTAATGATGATTGTTTCATGTGTCTGATGATTGATTGATTTATGATCTTTGTACAGATCGAGATCAGAAACCTAAACAAGCTTTGGCACCATTGGGAGTGGGAAAAAGTTGAGTATTTTACATTGGCTGATCTTTGGAATCCTTTTGATGGAGTGCTTATGGTGCTAATGTGCCTTACCTCTTTGCAATCCAAATCTTTACAAGCAAGTCGTTGGCGAACAGTTTAAGGTATCAATTTCATTCTCTACAATTGTATATGTTCTTGGAAACATTTGTAATTAGCTATAGATTGTGCACTGGGTTGCTTTGTTTTTATTTGTAATTTGATAATTTGATACAGTTTGGAACAAAGATTATTTGTTGTGATTACAAAGTTTCTTAAACAATTAATTGTGAACTTTTATTCTTTTATAGTTGGTTTCAAGGTTGATATAATTTTGTAATTTAATTGCTTGGAACCCTCATATGGTTTAGTCAAAGTTTTCCCATTTTGATGATTTCTTTCTTGTTTTTTGGTATTAATTATAATTCTATGTTCTTAAACTGGTTTGGCAATTAAAATCCTCTAATCCCATTATTGATTGTTTGGTGTTTATTGACATTGGATAAGGTACTCTTTTATATGTTTATTTTGTAATACAAAGCAATTAACTTAATTAGCTTCTTCACATTCATAACATTAACTATATTTTTACGAATTGTTGCATTTCAAAATTCTGATTAATAAAAGAACTGGAAACTCTATGATGAAACAGAGATTGGGCTGGAATTGACAGCATTTGGCGTACTGTTCTCATTCTTGGGAATCATTTGATTTTTTGATAAGGGACTACTTGCCATGGGAAATGTAAGTAAAACATTTCTCTCATCACAATTTTATTGCTCAGTTTCTTCCATTATTGAGCATTTTTAGTTTAGCTTCTTGTGTATTTGATGCCTACTAAACATTGTGTTATTTTGGTGACACTGAATCAGATCCTCTTTCTTATCAGCGGTGATGATAACCATTGGACCAAAGTCCTTGATGCAGTTTTTCACGAAACGTAGCAATTTCATGGTTTGTTTGCTCTATGTTTCCTCCATTCAGTGTGTGTACTTATCTCTCATTTTCATTTACCACTCTGGGTCTTTCCTTGTGATGATTGTACAAGGAACTATTTCTTTCGACGTGGCTTTTTCTTGGTTGTGCAGTGGCTTTTGGCCAACACTGTTAGTTTTTGTGCAAAAGATACCTATTATTAGGGATGGACACGGGTTGGTTGCGGCCACAGAACCTCCAATCCGCCATCCGCCCGCTAGATTGGCGGATTGGAGAAAATCAATTCACATCTGTCCGCCAATCCGGCGAATGTGGATTGAGCGGATTGGCGGTTTGGCGGATGGATGTGAGTCGGTTTGGCGGTTTAAAATTTTATAAATTTTCAACATCATTCAACTTGTGCACTTCCTCAAAAAATAAAAAATAAAAAAAGAGAAAATATTACAGTCAATGACTTAAAAAAATATTACAATCACGGCATGCCTCATCCAAAGCAAGAAAGTTTGAAATTTTAGAATATTACAATCACTGCATGTCTCATCCACATACTACAATCACAAGCCTTATCCAGATAAAGTATTACAATCTGTGGTTCTTAAAATATAAAAACAATTTAAACCGCCAAAACCATAAACAGAGCAGTAGTAGAGATTGTTTGTCTCTGTATTGTTACATCTATATCTGTTTTTGAAAACAAAAACCAACCAGCATATATCATATTTTCTATTTATTATTTTTAGAGATAGATTTTAAAACCAAAAAATATAGATAAATAATACATTTATTTTTTTCAATTCAAAAAAGATATTCAAGTTGAAAATTTTTTTTCAACAGAATATTTAAACTCTTTTTTAATTGAAAACAAACAAAATATTTAAACAAACTGAAAACACAAAATTTTATAAATTACTAGGGGTGCTCGCGGTTTGGCGGTTCGGTTGCAGCCAAAGGAATCTCAAATCCGCCATCTGTCCTCCAGATTGGCGGATTGGAGAAAATCGATCCGCAACCGTCTGCTCAAAATCACGCATCCGTCCAAAATGCGGTGGATCGGTTCGGTTCGGTCAGTTTTGGCGGATCGTTATATCCGCTGCTCACCCCTACCTATTATTGGGTGGGTGTTCCAACAACCATTTGTTAGATCGATACGTTTATCTTGCAATTCAATATAATATTTTTTTAGAGAGAAGGTCGTTTATCAAGATATTGCATCATGTTGTTGCATTCAGTGAAGGTCCTCTCTCACCATCTGCTTTGGATAAAGTAGATTCTTTTGTGAATATAGTGTTTCCCTCAGGCACATTATTGAGATGTAGTGTTTCCTCTCTTAGTAGAAAATCTAGACATATTCCTAAATTATAAAAATAGGAAATGGTAGGACGGAATTCTGATTTTGAAAACTAACTAATTACTAATATAAGAATGACCAGTTCATCATTTCCATTTTGATTCATGATTTAATCATATCCATGTTATTTCATTTTGCTAGCATGGTTACGGATTCTATTATTGTAAAGCTATTCCATTCCTTTCAAAGCTAACTAACAAAAACTTTAGACATTTTTCTCGAAACCAGCAAATATAAACTTTTGACATATTTTCCAGGTTTAATTTGAAATGGAATAATGGAATTACCTCATTTTTTATTATTTGATTATTCGATCTATATTTTTTGTCTCCTTTTTCAGTTCATACAATAAAGTTTAGAGAATTTAATGACAATTTGTCGTGTCTTTGTCTCGTTCTATAATTCCTAGCCAATGATAGCGTAATCGTCACGACTTTATTCGTAGCCAATGATGGCGCGACACCCACGCGCGAAGCGCGTAGGAGTCTAACTAGTACATATAAAATAAAGAACACACATTGTGTTTAAAATGAATATATATACATATAAAGCCATACATAGTAATATTAATCTCTATTTTAGTAATATGACTAATTAATTGATTGAATTGATTTGTATAGCAATTAATTGTAGGGAATTGCAAATTGAATCACATGAATCACTCAATTTCCAATTGAATCCAGAATCTCATGGTTCTAAACTCCCATAGCTTGACAAAACTATGGATAACAATAATAATCTTGTTTTGTATCCTGTTTCATATCACATTGTTACTGTTTGTCCAGAGTTGTTTCTTTATTTTCTCCATTTTCGCTCTGTAGTTGACAGTTTGTTGAATTCTCTGTTTTTGCCAACCCTGTTTGTTTAATTTTTTTGGGCTCTTCATTTGTTCATTTTCTTTATTTCTTGTTTTTATCTGTAGAAAAGAAGTATATTGTTTCAAAACAACTATTTTATCTCCCATTTTTGTTTTTTTGTTTTTTTGTATTTGATATTTTGGAATTTATTTTTGTTGTTGCCTTGTAGTAATCTATGTTTAGATTTGATTGTTTCTTTGTAATTAAAGCAATCAACTTATCAAAATATTTTTGAAGACAGGGTTTTGCAAATCTTTTTGCTGTCGACGTCATAAAACTTATAAGGCAACACCATGGTGAACACACAAACTATTCCTGTGTCTTCTCAATTATCAACTATAATTTCTAGTTATATTTCACCAGGAATGTAGGCATGAAATTACTTAATCCTTAGCTGTCATCAGTCCGGTGTTTACTGCTTTTTAACTTTACATTCCCTCTAATATTGCCATAAAAACATAAGAACCTAATATATGGAGTTTTAAGGTGTCCCGAACAGTTAGAATTTTGATATTGATGTTCCAGATGTATTTTTATGGCAGTCATCATTTTTGTCTAACAGGGAATCATCACTTTGATTTTGATCCTTTAACAGTTCACATTGCTTTGCCACTACAGAACGTTTCATTTAAGTGTGCAACTTGTGTCTTGCAATATATTGTTTGAACCACTTAAGATTGGTTGTTGTGGCCTTGACAAGTTTCTCATTTTGCCCATGATCTGTGTTGTAATTCTTCCAATATTATATCTCTACTCCAACAAAAGCAGTGGATTGTGAATGCAAACAGTTAAGAGAGGCAGTGTTGACAGGGAAAACAGAATCAAGGTTGGCCAAAATAGGGTTTAGTGATGAAGCATCGAAGATCATTGCATCTTTAAGGTGTGCTCTTGTTGAAGTTGAAGCTGCAACACAAGCAAATGATATCAAGCAATTACATTGACTATTGAAGTGAGATGAAAGATATGAGGACCAGTGCCTCGGCAAGAATATGACTCTAGATGGAGCGCATGTTGAAAGAGGGATAGTGCTTGCCAATGATTGGAGGGCTGCTTGTGATGTTTAGATTGAGGATTTTGTGATTATTTTGTTGCTTTTGTTGTTTCCTTGGAGGACTCCTTGTCCTCTCACTATACCTTCATTTTCTTTTAATAAAATTTTTATTCTCAAAAAAAGCCATGGTAGTGCTTATTTCATGAGAAGAAGAGTCTGTTCTTGCTGCTGGCTTGCTATTATATAATTGCTTTTCTTGATATTGTTACAGTAATAGTCACAAGATAATACATAGCATGCGATGGTTTGGGCCTGTGCCGACAGCTTTGTTTGGAAAATGATGCTCTGCATCAAATGGGATTTGCATTTGCCGAACATGGGTTGTTTTTGCCCCCCGAGTCTTGAAACTATTTAACACTAAAATTTCTTTTGTACTTTCTAACACCATGATTTGTCATTTAACATAGAAATGTCATGGAGGTTCAATGTTCCTTGATACATGGATTGGCCGTTGTTGCTCTAAAGTTGGTTTCTGCATGCTCGACATGTTCTTGAAATTAGGGAATCGAAACATCAATCATGTACATTTAATGTTCCTTGTAATAGGGAAATGAAAGATTACATGCGGCTAATGCTCCTAAACTATGTTGTCATACTGTATGCAATTGTATTTCAGCGTTGGGCATACCTTTTGGTGTTTTGTGGAATGGGAGAATAAACGAGCCATGGTGCACAGTTAGTAGCAAATGAGACTAATAATATACAAATGGAAAAAGTATACAAAAAAGACTATATAATGATTTTACAAATTTGTAAGGTTATGGATTTAGATCTCGGGGCAATTACTTTATACACTATGCTTAAGGTTACCCAAACACACATTAATGTGTACTAATCGGATGTTATTTCTTTTAGTAGATATATAACAATTAAACAGAAGGAGCAATTACATCAAAACTTAACAAGATGCCAAAAGAAATGGGGGAAATACAGCCCATAAGGAAGGAAGAGAGTTAGAGGATTGGGCCTTGGCTACCCAATGAGCCACCTTCTTGTTGGAACGGCAAGTCCGAGAGAAAGAAAACTGTTGCTGGGAAGCTAGATATGCTTTAATTGAGGAAAATCTCCAATTTAATTGAGGAAATCTCATACAAGCATATATATATATATATATATTATTTTGAAAATAATCTATTTTCTTTCCTATTCTAACCAATAGACATTTTTTGCATATCTACAATAAGTCATATCCTTGATATTCTTAATTGACTCCTACCAAACAAATTAAGTGAAAGGTATTTCTAATCAGTGACAAAAGTTCAAATCAATAAAAATACAATAAAATTATGATTTTTGTCTTCTAACAATATAAATAGAAATGGTGTGTCACATTTAAAATTAATTTGATTTACAAAATTTAAATTTGGATTACTTATTTAATTGTTTGTCTATTTATAAAGAATGACCATATCAAATGGTGTGTTTGATTTACAAAATTTAAATTTGGATTACTTATTTAATTGTTTGTCTATTTATAAAGAATGACCATATCAAATTAAATAGCACATATATAATAGGTATAATATTAATGATTTGTTAAAAACAAGATTTTTGCTAGATTTGTTACCATTTTTACTTGTTTACTAGATTTATTTATACTCAGTTTGGTTGGGGGATTTGAGAAGGGATTTGAAAAAGAAAATAAAAAAAAATAAGTGAAATATAAATAAAATA